GGTTGATATTCTGGTTTGAGGTCGAGGTATTACAAGGAATCACACGGGAGTACTAAAAGGCTACGGCTGAAGAAGGGTATTGGTTGTCGTCACTGAGAGATTATCGTCTCCTTGCAACGGCCAGTACCAAGCGGTCAGCCAGTACGACATGTTTCGTCGTCGCTGTCACTGACAAACGTGGCGTACCATCGACAGAGTCAAGCGGTCTGTCGCTGATTGTTCGCCTTGTCTATCTGCATCGGCGACATCTCCTGGTCACATCCGGGGAGATGGTCCAAACGGACGGCCGGCGATTTCTATACCTGGTATTCCTCCTATTCTTCTCTTCTCCGTGTCGTCAGTCTGCTGATTGAGAGGTTGAGTTCATGGAACCCAATCCGTTCCTTGACATTGTAGGAATCTAATTATCCGATAATTACAAGCTACCCTCTGGAATCCTCAATATCTCGCACATTTCCCTCCAAAGTTGCTGCTGCGTGAGATGGCCCTCTTCACTCGACACAAATGAGGAGACCCTATCTGGATCAGACAAAACAGTAGAAACATGGGACAAGGGAAATGACATACCTTCCCACACTGCAATCATCAAGATACTGTCCATGCGTCTCGTCTCCACCCGACGCAGCGTGAACAAGAGTGTTACCACCGTCCTCGGGAGTGCGGGCCAGTAGGGCCTTGAAGATCTTGTCGGATATGGCGAAGATGGACCGCGCATGGCGCATGATGCTCGTCTTGACAAGGCCCGGGTTGACGGTCGAGACGATGACGTGCCCGTCTTGGGAGGACAGGGTGACTTTGTTGGCGAGTTCGCGAACGAGTAGAAGCTGGATGAGCTTCGATACGTTATACCTGAGAAGTTAGCACAGACACCCACGCACTCTTTCTCTCTCTCTCTCTCTCTCTCTTGTCTTCTCACCGGTCTATCATTCTGGCATTTGGCCTGGCCAACTCCGCGAAGATCTTCTCCTTTTTGCGCTCCGGGAAGGTCGTCATTTTATGGACAAACGAGCCGGCAAAAGTCATCACGCACGGTTTGTGTAATGCCACGGATGTCTCGCGCAGTTTGGGCAGCAGTCGGATCCCCAGCAATAGAGTACTCAGCACATTGACTGTGATGGTGGCCTCGTTATCCTCCGCCAGCGAGAAGTCAAACAGATACACCCCAGCGTTGGCTACCAGGACATCCACTCTGTCGAGCCCTGCCGCTCGCTGCGAAAAGGCTTCGACGGATTCATAGCTGGTGAGATCGACTTGCCAGACCTCGACACTACACTTGCCGTCGTTGTCGTGGCTGTCGATGTCGGACTTTGCAGCCGTCCCCTTGGCCATGTCCCTCACGGCGAGAATCACCCGTCGCGCGTCATGACGCACAAACTGGCGGGCTGCCTCCAGGCCTAGGCCTGTGTTGGCGCCTGTCACGATGATGGTCTGTCCCGTGAACGAAGCCGTGGGGGGAGGGACTTGGAAGACCAGCTGTGAGCGTAGGAGAGACAGCATGATTAAACAGACTATTCTAATCCATTGTCAATCTCTTCTCCCTCCCCATTGTCTTCTCTCCCTCTTATAGATACTTTCCTATAGAAATTCAGCGCTTTCGACTAGCCATATTCGACTAGCGCTGTAAGCACCCTACATGACACTAACCTGTAGTTAGATATAAGGTAGTAATCTGAGGTACTCCGTCATCTTCATCTTCACCTTTTTCTCATCACTGTCATCACTGTCATTACCATGGATCTGATTCCCCTTACCCTCAACCGGCAGCTTCAAGAGGTAATCCATCTGCATTCAACCACCATTCATGCTAAAACATGATAGGCCCGCGATACCTCCGACGACTGGACGGGTGTGACGGACCAGACGGAGAGACGAAGACGCCAGACCCGGCTGAACGTCCGGGCACATCGTATGTTAGCCATATATAAATATGTGTGTGTGTGTGTGTGTTTCTCATTTGATAGGAAAACGCAAAACTCACCCCCCCTGCTCCTGTTCAAGCGATGAACACCTCCCTACACTACTCGCTGCGGCAACGCATCAAATCAGCCTCAGCGCAGACCATCTCATCCCCCTTGTACGATACAATTTGTCTCGCGCATGGTTGACGAACACAAGACTCGTATCTGGGATGAATGATACGCCTACACTACTCCCCCCCTCGTTACAACCCACGCCTCTACAGAAAAGTACCCGCCACCCGGCCTGGGTGGATATCTATCCCTCCCCCGTCATGCGGGATAACATTATCCTCTCGTTCCGCACGACGGACGCCTCGGCCCTCTGCGCGCGGTTCTCTGCAGAGATTCTCTCGGACGAAGTCGGGATCCTAGTCTGGGGGGACCCGTGGGATATCGGCGCGTACGAAGTCACGGAGTCGTTTTTAAGACGCTGGGCGTTTCTCTTCCGTGGTGAACCGGCAATCATAGAGGGGAGTAATCGGTGGAGAGAACTAAGGGGGGAACCTCCTCTCCCTGGATATTTGTATAGTTTAATAGGTTAAGAAAAATGTATAAAACCCTAAACCCTAAATCCTATATATATACATATAGGCATGACATGAATGAAGCCTTTAATATATGATGCCGAGTATAAGAACATAATCACATTATTCAGTTGCATGGAGTTTCCCGAAAATACCCTTTTTCTATCAGCTGTGGAAAGCAGCTGAATGGGCAGTAAGATATGCCCAGCCCCTCACTCTCAAAGGGCTCTTAGGCTGCCGGGACTCTCTCCCGCACTCTCATGAGAACTCCACCTTTAACACCCTATAGAGAGAGAGAAGATGTCATCAGTATTCATTCTGTTCATTAAGAAGGCCCAGGAAAATACTCATTTAAACGCACCATGTTCATCGCAGCAAGTGGCTCGTACACCTTGCTATCATCAGACAAGATGATATCAAATCGCTGAAGAATGGCAGTGGTAATGGTGACGCCCTCAAACGTGGCGAGGGCCCGTCCAAGACAAGCGTGGGGGCCGGCATTCCAGGAGTGGTATTCTACACATCATAGCATGAGTATATTTTCCTTGGACGTCGTTGCATATTGCTTCACAACAAGCGACTTGTAAAAAGAAAAAGAAAGAAAAAAAAAACTCACTGAAGGGGCTGTAAGAGATGGGCTCCCCACTCTCCTTGAACCATCGGTAGGGGTTGAAGACGGCGGCGTCTTCTCCCCAAACTTCAGGCATGCGAGCAAGAACATAGTTCTGGTAACTGACGAGATCGCCTCTATTGTTATTGTTGTTGATTAGCTTTGTGGTCAGTGTGTCGAGGAGAAACGAAGTTGCACCTACTTCTTAATTCGACGAGCAGGCATATTGATCTCAGGCACGGGGGGGAGGACGTCGTCTTCTGCTGCCTCTAATTGCCCAGCAGGAGAGACAGTGTCAAGGCGAGAAGTCTCATCCCACATGGCGTTTGCGAAGCGCATTTTCTAATAGAAAAAAAAAAGGTAATACTAGGTTAGCATGATATATACTATATAAACCTAGGAGTGTTTGCTGTGGGGGGCATTGATGTACCGGTGCATCTCCATAACCAAGGTAGCTGCTGGAGAATCCAAGTGCATCGGCTTCAGCTCGGATCTTGTTCGCGGCGTCAAGATGTTGGTTGTCTTTGTGATGAATCTCCTTCATGTACCATGAAGTAGTATACGCTGTCGTGTCGCCTGTGTCCAAGAAGAGGTTGTCAGTGGGTGATTGCGAGTCTCTTTTCATGCCATGCAAACTTACGTCCAGCGGTGAGGAATGAGAAGACCATTCCGCCCAGCGTATATCGGTCCTCTGTTGTCTGCAGGAAAAGGTCCAGGAGGTCAACTCCAGCGCTGGGGTCAGGCGTGTATCCATTCTTCATGGCGTCAAGACGATCCTGGATAAGACTATCTATCTTTCGATAGAACAGGCTCACGGCTCTCTTGGTGACCTTATCTTCGCCAGACAACTTTTCTGTGATTTTCCACAGAGGGTCGCGTCTCCTCCGGTCAAACACTGCAATGGAATATGTCAGACACAGCACAGCACCAGGGGTTAAAGCCACTAGCAGGGGAACGCACAATGGGTGGCCTCGTCGAAGGCGTCCATGTAATCGACCTGAGACTTCAGACTCGCCGGATCGTCAGACAGAACATCCAGAGCGAGCTGGTCGGCGTGGAAAGCCATCCTCAGGAATAAACAGAACATAAAGCGTCCCATCAGTTCCTGGAAATCAAATTCGGTCTGTGATTTGGACAGGTTCGACAGCAGACGCATCAGGATGTCAAGCCAGTGGTGAAGGGACTGCGTGATATGAGTCTCAAAGTTCCGCTTGCTAAAGGCTCGAGTCGCCGCCTTGCGCTGGACTAGCCATTCCTTGCCGTCTACAGCAAAGACACCAGAGCGGTGGAGCTCTCCAAAGACGTTGCGAGTGAACGCGCCCCGGATGTAGTTTTTGCTGTTGGTCTTCTGAATATATTCAAGATAGGAGGGATGATTGATGACATGCATGCGGTAGAAGGGAATAGTCAACTCGTACGCCGGTCCAAACCGCTTATACAGCGAGTACCACGCCGTACAGCTGGCAGCACCGTTGGTCTTGAGCTCCTGGAGATTGCCCTTGAGAAATGACCCCTTGGGACCGGTGATCCATTTCAAGTTGGCAGAGGACGAGGTCCAGAAGCCCCGGTTGCGATACGTCCAGCAGATTCCTGCACTCTTCGTCAACGCCGTGCTCGCAAGTCCAGCAAAGGAGAAAGAGGCGGGAGGAACTCACCTGTGATCGCGAGCAGAATGAGTAGCGTGGCATACTCGACGCCTGAGAGCACTGAGATATGCTGCAAGTGCAGGGGTAATATGGCAGGTGTCAAGGCCTTCTCCATATTGGCTAATGAGGATTGAGTGGAGAGTCAACGGCTTCAATGATAGTAAGAGTCAAGCACAGCTTGCATCTGATCCCTGATCCATCTCTTCAACCCGTACTGCCATGGATGGAACTGCGGATTGCATTTATGGCTGGCTTTGCGTGCGGAGAAAACGACGTGCGGAGCCCGAAGGAAGACGTGCGGAGTCAAATCCTCTGCGTATCTCGAGATAAACCCATCTTTCACTCGGCCCAGAGATAGCAATATAAAAAGGCTTCAGGCGCTCGCCTCTGGAATGCCCCAGATGACATCACAAAGGGGGCCACCGTCGACAGCATCGATTCCCCACTCTCCAGCCATGCTCCATATGAGAACGAGGATACGGGCTCGGTTGTCGTGCTGAACGGCGGCTCTCTTCAGCGTCAGCTGGGGAACCGCCACCTTCAAATCATCGCCATTGGCGGCTCCATTGGCACCGCGGCGTTTGTCAGCGTGGGCACTGCCCTTGCAGAAGGTGGGCCGGGCAGCCTGTTCATTGCCTATGTCATCTATGCCGTTATTATGGGCATGCTGAACAACTGCGCCGCCGAGATGGTGGTGTATATGCCTGTCAGTGGTGGGTTTGTCCGACTCGCCGGCCACTGGGTTGATGAGGCCCTGGGGTTTATGGCAGGCTGGAACTTTCTCCTCTACGAGGGCATCATGATCCCCTTTGAGATCACCGCGCTGCAGGTGGTGCTCTCCTTCTGGAGCGACAAAGTCCCTGCTATTGCGATCTGCTTAGTCTGTATCTTTTTATACGGGTGAGTTTAAATGTTGTTCTATCTATATTATATGCTATATATAGCGCTAACGATGCGTCTCTCAGACTGCTCAATGTCTTTGCTGTCCGGGTTTATGGCGAGGCCGAGTTCTGGCTCTCCACCGGGAAGATCTTACTCCTCACCATCCTCTTCTGCTTTACCTTCATCACGATGGTCGGGGGAAATCCACAGGGAGACGCTTACGGCTTCCGTCACTGGAACCACCCAGGGGCCTTTGCAGAATATCTCTCTACAGGCAGCCTGGGCCGCTTTCAAGGCTTTCTTGCTTGTCTGTGGAACGCTGCGTTTCTGATGGTCGGCCCGGAGTTGATCTCCATGATGGCTGCAGAGGCCAAGCAGCCTCGGATCTACCTCAAAAGTGCCTACAAGACAGTGTACGTGCGATTCGCCATCATGTTTGTCGGAACCGGCTTCTGCGTTGGCATCTTGGTGGCATACAATGACCCTACGCTGGTCGCCATCGTCTTTGGAGACGCATCGGGTAGTGGAACAGCTGCAGCATCCCCATACGTTATCGCTATGCACAACATGGGGGTCACTGCCCTGCCACACCTTGTCAATGCCCTACTCTGCACCAGCATATTTTCCGCCGGCAACAACATCTTCTACAACGCCACGCGGACGCTCTACAGTCTAGCTCTCCAGGGCAAAGCTCCCAAGCAACTCGCGAAATGCACAAAGGACGGAGTCCCCATCTATGCCTTTGGAGTCACCATGCTGTTCCCCTTCTTGTCCCTGCTCAGTCTATCGAAGAGTTCGGAAACCGTTCTGACCTGGCTGCTGAATCTCGTCACCGCCGCGGGCATCATCGACTTTATTGTCATCGCGATCACCTACATCAGCTTCTATCGCGCCTGCAAAGCTCAAGGCGTGTCTCGAGACAGCCTTCCCTACAAGGGTTGGTTCCAGCCATACAGCGGCTACATTGCCTTGGTTGCAGAGATCGTCATCGTCCTCTGCTATGGCTACACCAGCTTTGATCCCTGGAACGTTTCAACCTTCTTCACCCACTACACCATGGTCATTGTTGCTGTGGTCATCTTCTTCTTCTGGAAATTCTACAAGAAGACGAGATGGCTGCGCCCCCACGAAGTCGATCTCGTCTGGGAAAAGCCCTTGGTCGACCTCTACGAATCAACCTGCGAGGAGCCCTTGACCACCTTCTGGGGCGAGACCTTGGATATGGTGCGTTTCTGGAAGGTGTCGAAACAAAACGACTTGGACTAAGCAGGGGGTAACCCGCTTGTATATATAATTATATCACAGCTCAATATATTTGGAATGTCTTACATATCATAGATTATTTTCTATCATGTAGCAATCTACTCTCTGATTGAAGCCTTTAGTAAAGGATTTATATCAAGGGTCGTTATAGCATTATACCTAGATAATCAATGGGAGTAGTTAGTGGACAGACTGCTGATTATTTGTATAGCTTGATAGATTAGAAAAATAAGAAACAAATGCTATATATAAATGTATATATGTATGTATATGTATATTACATCCCCCTATTGAATTCCACCTGTCCATTTAACCCACCCTTGCCCCAGAACTCTTCCTCAAGGGACTCCGCGCTCAACGCCTGTCGCTGCGGGAACGCCCCCAGGGCAAGCGGTAGGGCGAAGAGGGATGTAGCGAGGATGAGACCCAGGTTGATGGGGAGGACCATGCGCGGGCGGGCACGCAGCCAGGCGGTCTTCTCCAGCCGGACAAGAATTAACGGCGGGATGACCATGATCGGGGTAGCGTTGAGGACGCGCGAGACAGCGGTCTCACCCACCGCAATGGTGGCCGCCTTCTTACTCTTGCCGAGCGATTGGACGGGCTCGCCCGTCTTCTCGCGCGCGAGCTTCTCTTCCTCCGAGAGAACAGGGTAGACGTCGATACCACGACGGATCTCCTCGCCCCGCATGAGGAAGACGTTCAGCGCCGAGGCGCTCGACACGGCCGCAAAGGGGACCAGCCGGCCGAGCAGCAGACGGGTCTGCGGCGTCAGGCTCTTCAGGCGCGGAACCAGCGCGTTCAAGCCTAGTGCGACGGAGCACGAGGCCGACACCGCCATCAGGTAGGATTTGGCGATCTGCGGGACGGAGAGGGGGGTCGATTTGTTGGCGTTGGCATTGTTGATCGCTACGTTGAGCGATTGGTTTGCAATCTGCCACAGCAGAGTTCCAGTTGTCTGAAAGAAGTAAGCTGACTGAAGTGTCAATTCAATTGCTTGAATTGATTGATTAAAGTTGTACCTGTAACCCTGGCGTGAGCATCCCCGCCGTAACCACCAGATTCGAAAGGACATAACACGACATGCGGAACGGAAGGAGGACGGGTTCGCCAGTATCTCCAAAAAAAAAAGTTAATCATTGTGTTTTTTTAAAATAAGGAATAGGAAGAGGTTTACCCGGGTGCAACGTCGAGTCCACGATCTTCTTCGCATGCCACAGCTCGGGCGTCATCACCCCGTTCCCGGATTTATACATTTTGATCAACGATTTGGCCTGTTCCAGACCCGCGCTTGATGTAAATGCCATTCTAAGAGCCCTTAGTTAGCAAGAACAGACAAAATAGAGGGAGGAGGTAGAAAGAAGAGGTACCTCGGGTCCGACAGGTCGGCGGCATGGCGCACCCGCCCCCAGTACGAGGAGAGGTCGTACTGGGAGGCAGGGAGTTCGCGGTTTCCAGGGAGGGAGGAGGACATTCTCCTTTCTATAGACGAAAGGCAAAAAACAACAGACAGACAGGGAGAAGAGAAAGAATGACGATGGGAGAAAAGGGAAGGGGAAGGAAGTATTTCGACTCAGTGAAAGCGCCCGAAAGTGGCGTATCGCAGGCGGTGAGTCTGATAAGAGCTTGACCAATCAGCGGCGTAGAGATTAACTTTTAAAAGACGACCCGGTGAGTCTGAATTCAACCTTTCCTTTTTAGGTTAGTATCAGTGCCTGATTACTAACAGGAACCGTTTGGTAAGTTTGGTAAGTTTGGTAAGTTTGCATTGGAGGTATATGGGAATAGTAACAGGTAATGTTGGGTTTGATTGAAGATTAGATTCTTGAAGTATTTCTTTGTTTAAATAGTGTGCTAGCAAGAGAATACACGGGTGTGACAACAGGTCAGTCGTATTCCAGCCCGATTACTCGGAACATGGACCGAAGCAGTCGGGTTCTTTTTCCGATGGACAGACTGATGGCGACCATTGGTATAGAGTAACTATCCGCTGGCGTTTCTTTATCCTCCTAATACAAATATAAAACAACGCCCAAGATAGGATGTGGTACTTCTTTGCTGATGACCACTGTCTGCTATTTATTATTCAAGGACGGTCTACCAAGTAGTGATATGTATACATAGAGGAGATACAGGGGTATGATAATGCTGACATCTGACAAAGGAAAAGGTCGAGGCCAGACCAGTCATCGCAAACGAAACGACTTGTGGGCCAGAGGCGAGGTCGGAACGTTCATAGGATCGCGCGGTCGATTCCGTCCGAGGGAGCGCGAGGGTGTCTGCGCGCAAAACACGCACACGTACACAGAGGGCAGATTCGCGCGTTCGAGCCCGACGCACTTGGTGTGCAGCCAGTGATTGCAGGATTCACTAATCAAGATTAGCAAAGAGAAAAAGGAAGACAAGTCAATAGGGGGAAGGGGTTACCATTGAATCATGAGGTGCCCCCCGTTGTCCATGGAATGACAGATACAGCGCGTGCCATTGCTGGGGTTGCAGTGCCGGTCGGTGCTCGGGGTTGCCAAGTCTGGATCCGTGACGGTGGTGGGGGATGTGTTGGAGTCTGTGGTGAGTTCGCTGCCGAATCGTGGCGGCGAGGAACGTAGATGCGCGGTAATCGAGCGGGCGTACCGACCTGGCGGTCGAGATCCATAGTTGACCGACTGCGAATGCCGTAGCAGCCCTGCACCCGCCGTGGAACGGCCTTTGCCCTGAAGGACCTTACGTAATGCATGCTGGGCATCCCCGCTGTCCTCGTCATCCGGGTCAGCGAGAGCCTCGGACGCCACGCTGAGGCTTCCGTAAGTAAAGTCCGAGTTGGGGAGCATGATCGTCGAGTGCCGCTGGGGCGTTGTTCGCCGCCAGTCATCAGGGGATGGTCGGTAGAGGGAGGTGGAGCGTCGTGGACCACCACCGCCCTGTACCGAGACTGACGACGACGACGAGCCGGCCGCCCAGGGCGAATGGCGACCCGAGTGCGAGGAGGCGATAGAGGTGTAGGAGCCCTTGGAATGCGGACGTGATTCTGACCGACCGGGGTACCAACTGCTGCTGCTGCGGTAGTGATTATGGTGATGGTGGTGGACAATCGGGTAGTCCGAATATTCGGCGGAATCGCTCTCGCTCCCAGTAACGGACCCATCAAGATCCATCCCCATGATAGGATCGGTCAGCCCTGTCGTCGTCTGGTGGTGGGAAGCGGTCGAGGAGCCGGCCGTCATCGGCATCATTGCCGTTGTGGCCCGGCCATCCTTGCCGATGGTGAGTACCACGGAACTGGATCGGGTAGGGAAGCCGCCGGCCATCGAGTGGGCGCGGGGTAGCGGCTGCCGCATGGTCTTGATGGGGGAAAGCCGGCCCTTGGAGGGGCTCTTGCGGATCCCGCTTGTCGAGGCCATCATCCCGGACGAGGAGCGATAGAGGCTGGCGGGGCGACTCGCAGGAGAGCTGGGGACAGCATGATGCGTCATGCTCCGGGTCAAGCCTGGTCGCATCTGCCGCGGCGTGAAGTCATCATCTTCTTCTTCTTCCTCATCATCGTCGTGGTCGTGGTCGTTGTCGTTGTCGTCATTGCAGTAGATTTCATTGTCAGGGCCTCTGTTGTAGTGGCCTTCTTCGCTGCCCATCATGTTAAAGGATGATCCCGAGAGCTGCCGTACACGGCGGAGCTCCTCCCGTTTTGATTCCTCGGTCTGATGGTGGTACGGCTGGCGTGTTGGGCGGGAGGAAAACAGACCCTTCTGCGGCGTGGGTTGCGGGCCGCCAAATCGACGGGCCGGCGAACTGAGAAACAGAGCCGGGTCTTCCGCCTTGGTCATAGGCAGACGTGGTGAGGTGGAAAAGGGCGCCGGGAACAGAGCGGCGTCCGAGGGCCCGGTCGAGGCCATGCCGAATCCGTGGTGGTGTTCCCCAAACTCGGGCAAGTCCATAGAGCCGCCAATTTCGGGTAGCTGAGGGATGGAAGAAACGGCCAGGGCGGCGGGTAGAATCGTGTCGGTAGTAGCATTAGCCGTAGCTGTACTAGTAGTAGAGGCGGTGTTAGGATTAGTGGTCGGAGGAATGGAGGTGGTAGGAAGCGGTGGTAAGGGAGTGTGACGATCTAGACTGTGGTGTGGCTCGGGCTCTTGATCCCAGAAGAGCCTATGTTGCGGGAAAAAGGGCGAGGCAGAGGGATCGACGGCGGCCAATTGAAAGAAATCCGGTGATGATTGAAGGTTCCCAAATATCCTCGGCGAGTCTCTTAGCAACCGACTGGGAGTCTCCAGATGGGCTATATTGTTGTTGTTGTTGCTGCTGCTGCTGTTGCCACCAGGGGCCATAGACCCGGGCAATTTCTCCACGCCCGTCACTTTCCTCACGGAGGCACTCGTTGGCGGCGGTGTCTGCATGACTGCCGCGGAGCCGAGAGCTCCCAGGTGCTGAATATAATCATCATCACTGACGTGCTCTCTCCCCCCTTGCTGCTGCTGCTGCTGCTGTGGTTGATGTTGTTCTCTCCCATCTGGTAGGGCTCCTCCACTCGCATTCGGCCTGGCCGCCCGGATCCGTCTGGCAGTGTCTCCTTTCCCATTTTCCCTTTCCCCCTCCGGGAGAGAATCGGGGATCCTTAACGGATTCGAAGGGGTATGCAGGCCAAACCGCAGCGGGGTGCGTAGAAACTCCGGGCTGGAAGCATACGGGTCGGCAGTGTCCCAGGTAACCCGGGGGTCGAAGAAGCTGGACTCGAGCTTGGGGGTCTGAAAGGCAGGTTCACTCAGGCCGACGGCAGTCGTGGCGATGATGGTGGGGGTTCTTGTTGGGGTCTGGGGCTCGGCGGTGGGATAGCTGAAGCTGAAACGAGAGGTGAGCATTTTTCAACCACCAAGAAAACCAAGAATAGGATAGGAAAAAAAAAATTTTAAAAAAAAGGAATGGAGAATAGTTGAAATGGAGAAAGAGGGAGGGAGGAGTAACGAAGGTAGGGAGGGGACTTACCTGTGAACAGGGTGATCCCAACTCATGACCGCAACAAGCTCCTTTGGCAAAAAAGAGACTCGAGCGGCCAGGCAACCTCAAGCAGGCAGTCCGTCGTTTTTAAGGAATGTGACAGGTCTGGAAGAAGATTTGGCCAGAGCTAGCTATGAGAGAGAGAGAGGGAGAGCAAAGGTGGTACAGAGGGTTTCCAACGGATCGGTAGAAGAATCTTCAGGAGAAACAGATTTAACTGCCCAGTATCACCCCGACCACCTTGTTCAGAACATTATTTTTTGAATTATCGGAGAAAAGAATTCTTTTCTGGGGGGGGGAAAGTCGAGGTTGCTGGATTCGAAGCCAGGGAGGAATGTCAGGGGAGAGAAAGAGAAGAGGAAGATAGAGGGAGGGAGGGAGAGGTCGGGAGGTCAAGAGAGAGCAAGTCGAGGAAGAGGGTAGAAGAGGAGTCTAAGACACGAGACAAGAGAATCCGGGAAAGGAGCAGGGAGAGAGAGAGATAGAGAGAGAGAGAATTGAGTCGAGAGAGGGAGAGGGAGACCCAAAAGACAAGGAAGGGATGATGATCGAAAAAGAGCCTGTGGAGGAGTTGAGTTGCTGTGGGACTCGGGAGTGTTTTTCTTTTGCAGTTTTGACAAAGAAAACCTCTTTTCTTTCTACGTCTAGACTTTTGCCATCTTTTTATTGAATTTGATCTGAATCATGGATTCACTCTTCTCTCTTTTGTCTATAATAATTCGGTCTATTCAAGTATTCAGAGGACTACAGAATAGTGAAACTGAATCGTTTACTTCAGCTGAACGTGGGTCCGATCCAGCACGAGTTCCTGCAGATCGATTGACCAGTGACTATTAATTCAGTCTGGGTATATTGTTTTTTTTTTATTAGAGAGGAGAGAAGGATTAGATCTCTCGGATTACTGAAGGATTTAGATCTACAGTTAGGGGAGATATATGTACTACATACTCCGTAGGGAATATTACTACCAAGTACCTTATAACTATACTCTACCGATGTCGTCATACACGGGATCTCTTTCTAACTAGTTAAGCTCGATCGAAACCAGTTTAAAAAGGCTGCAATGCTCCAGTCGTGGAAGGTGGAAAAGTACAGAGTACTACATATATCAGATAGATTCTAGAGTCCAGACTCAAACAGGTTCCTTACTGTTACCATGGCAGCCTGCAAGACGTGCATACCCGCCCCTGACAGCAGCAAGGGACGAACTTTGGCAGTTCAGCAACTACGGAGTAGTAACTAACTACTACATAATACAGACTCTTGACTACTACCGTGCTAACCGAGATACATCTGAGAGGTATCGAGGCAGTGCTGGCATGTGGCGAGCTGAAGATGAGATAACTCGGCATTAACCAAGGTCTCCAGTTGGCTGGATTTGTCATGATCCCTGTACGAACTAAACAGCACGGAGAGTAGTAATTGATTACTAGTTACCACATGGCAAGGTTTATCCAACTTTCACAGCTATTATTAGTAGTTACAAGTGATTATGTAGTAAGAGGGGTATGTAGGAGTCAATAGTAGACTTAAGCAGGAACTCCGTTGGTGACGGTCCCATAGGACGTAAAGGTGTAGTTCCCGTTGCACGCATAGTCGAACTGGCTCTGCGCCAGGCTGTCCTTCTGGATGGCCAGGAAGGTGTCCAGCTCACACCACCCGTCATCGCGGTACTCGCACCCGGTGAAGCTGGAGTGCAGCGGCAGGGTGCGCTGGTTCAACAGGAAGTGCACGTAGTACGTCTCCGACGTTCCGGCGACATACGCCTCCGCCTGCGAGCCCGTGGGCCGCTTGGCGGGCACCTTGTGGGGTGCACGAATGATCTCAATGTTGATCCGGCCGGCAAAGGGGACGATCTTGCTGGTAAAGAACTCCTGGTCGGCCGGCGGGCCCGTGACTGGTAGGGAGCCCGCGAACTGTTCAAAGCCAAACGCCGTCAGCGTCGAGACGATGCTCGCGTCATGCGCAAAGTCGAAGTACAGCGTCTGGTCCGTCGGGAAGGTCACCTCGTTGGTGTCCAGCGTCATGTTGGCGTCGGTGTCCGTGACGGTCAGTAGGTGACCCTGCACCCGGGCCAGGAACTCCTCTACCCAGGCGATGCCCTGCGCGCGGCCCGCGGGACTGGCAAACCCGCTCATGACAGCAAACTCAATGTCGATGAGGTAGCTGTAATCCTTCCAATGGGCAAAGTCGAACAACTCGCAGAACGGGCTGTAGCCGAAGCTGACGGTTTCATAGGCGCACAGTGCCTGCGCGTCGTACGAGTCGGCAACAGTCCAGTCGTAACCACCGGCCTGCTTTTTGAGCGTGGCGGTGATGTCCTTGAGGTAGGTTTCCATCCATTCCTCGATGGGTTCCATCATCAGGCTGCTCTCCTCCCACTCGAGCGCCTTGTCACAGGCGTACATGCCGATCAGCGAGTTGTTGTACCCGACTTCCTCGATGATCGGGAGCAGGTTGGCGTACTCGGTCCAGTCCAGGCCGAAGAAGCCGGCCAGAAAGTTCTCCGCGCTCTTGAGCATGCGATCCTCCGTGGTCGTCCGGGCCACCAGCTTGTGGCTGCTGCTGCTGTTGTACAGCTTGCCGTAATTGTACCAGTTCAGGATACCGCTGTCGAACAGCTCCTGCCGGCCGCGAGCCACGAGGATTTCGAGACCGAGGCCGTAACTCCAGTCATTCAAGAAGGCCAGGTTGTCGGTAAACTTGGTGCCCTTGGCGGTCAGGTTCATAATCTTCTCGCCCCAGGTGGCCAAACCTTCCGACGAGGATGGGTAGCGGGACCCATGGCGTTGCAGCAGATGCATCTGGGTGATATTGGTCCCGCTAGGAAGGGGGTACTCTTCCACTCCAAAGCCATCCACACTGGGGTAGTAGGGGCTACTCTAGGTTAGTATGATCAAGACGTTCTGGTGTGCGTATGCTCCCCCCCAACTGGTGAACCTGACTGATCGACTCACCTGAGGTTCCCCATCCAGTGGAAGATGTTCTGCCCATTTGCCCCCTGAATCGGCTCCGAGGTCTGCAGAGGATAGTTGGGGGTATACGACACGCCGGTAAAGGTCACCGGGTTGGTCTCTGCCAGGAAGGGGGCGGATCCAGTCTCCGTGGTACCTAAAGAGAGTCAATGAGCTTTATGCTGCCGGGCAGATGAGATCCAAGGTAGATAGTAGACATACCAGCATACAATTCCGGCGTGGTCTGGAACCAGTTTGGCCCGGTAGTGGTCGACGAAGTCGAGGTGGTAGTCGTCGTCGCGCGAGGCTCCACGGCAGCCGCCTCGACGGCCACAGCCAGGGTCAGGGCAGAAAGAGAGGACTGAAAACGCATTTTGAAACCCGATCTCTGCCCGCTTCAACTGTTTTCTTTCTCTCTCAGACTCAGTCCAGTCTCCGGCAAGCCCTCGCCTTTTATCTCCTGCCCGGCCCCTGCCACCCACTCAGGTCGTAGACGTCTCCCGCTAGGGATTAGCTATGAGGTGCAGAATCTGGCACCACCTGCAAGATTGCCCTCCATTTTCCGGGCTGTCTGTCTGGGTGATTATTGTCTCTGTACCAGCAGAAAGGCATTGCCAGCGCACGTGGTGCAGATGAGACGCGTTATGCAGGTACCTGAGATTCTAGAACCAGGATCCAGTGAGCCGGATCAAGCCTGTTTATTGCCGCTGCGGGCCCCTGGTTTGAGCTGCTAAAATGATGAAGCCACCCTTCACTGTCCTTGACTGCGAGGAAACACCAGTCAAGTGTGGCGGTTAGTGGATGTTGATAGATGAGAACTGCCCTGTCTGAGTCTAAGAAACTGAATAATGCACTCTGCGCCTGTAGAGAAATCAGAGACAGAACAACGCAGGAGACGCTGGAGAGAAGCCGGAGAAGCCCAAGGGGGGAAGACTTGAGGGAGAACTGGAGGGAGGACCCCAATTGAGAAAGAGCCTCGTAATTAATATTTCCGCGCTAGGCGGTTATTTACCAGCTAGCGCAATATATGATTGGTTGTATTCCTGTAAGCGTTTCTAAGCGAAGCACTAGTAAAGTTCAGTACATCGTATTACCATCGTATTCGCCTGTAGTGATGCCTGAATGATAGTGATTAGGAGATCAGTAATTAAATACTCCATACTAGATCAAAACCATTTAGATCCAGCAGGTTATGCAGAGTAGTGAAAGTTAAGCTGTAGATATACCATATAACTAGTACTAACTATATACTATATGGTCAATACTGGCACTAAAGGTAAAGCTTCTAGAAGGTCTCAATAAGCCATGACGTATGTACCTGAAGTACTTTAGGTCAATAGTCAATAGTTAGATTAACTAATACCGATAGTAACATTCTAGGTACTATATTATTCACTGGTAAATAGTACTGTAGAGATACTCCGTACTGTAGATACTCCATACTGTAGATACTCCATACTGTAGATACTCCATACTGTAGATACTCGAGCTGTGGCTGTGTGCACCAGCCACATGTCCCCAGGTCCCTTACTCTAGTAGATTCCTAACAAAGAGACTTGATCTTCTTTATATCTATTCTTAGAGTCATGATTGACTTATTTAACTAACACTCAAGTCAAGTACTCACCTCATATCTACTGCTAAGTACTAGTTAGTTACTACTACTGCTGCTACTTCTACTGCTAGAATGTCCCGCATTGCCAGGAAAAAGAAACACCCCCGCCGCAGCCCAATCCTCAAGTCTCTCAATCTCAAGACTAAACCATCTACCAAATGGCGGAAACCCGTTCCTCTCCCGCCTTCTACGGAGCCTTTAGAAGAGGTAAGATAGTAGTACAGTACTCTACATCAAGCTGTTTCTTTTTCTATCTATTTTTAAGTCCTACTAACATTAATGTCTTTAGAATTGTTATACCACCTCTCCACTGATAAACGGATACATATTCGTCCGCAAGGGCGACGTCTATATCACCCGGCATTGCAGGAGTAGAACCAAGCAGAGTGGACGAACAGTATACGTTGTTTATGTATAACCTCCCCCCCCACGCCTTTTTTGTCTTTTCAACATCATTGCTAATGATATACAGACTACACAAGGGAAAGCGCTGGGCCTCCGCGTCCCGAAAGAGATCTATTCCTCAGTTCTAGCTAGCGCGGAGGAAACGTCGTCGTCTCGCGCGGCGGCGGTGCAACTGCGCGATGAAAGGGACCGGCAAAGGGCAGCAGAGCTGCTGACACAGTTATTCCCGCGGATGCCGTCGTCTTCTCTGACGGAGATAGTCGAACATGCCTTCTTGAAGGGGTCTGGGCGGGTGGGGAGGTCGACCACGACGTCGGAGGAGAGGAAGGCGGTTCTGGCCGTGGAAGCGCATATCCGCCACATGCATACCGGGTATGAAGCTTTGCTGAAGAGTGGGATGGAGAGGGCCCAGGCGCGAAAGGATGTCTGGGAGGCTGTCAAGACGGTCAAGAGGCTGTGGATGGGGGAAGAGGGGGGGGATCAAATGAGTCAGACGTTGGTTTTTAGAGAGAGATGACGGTTGAAGATACGTATATACTATAGAAATGACTGGTATGATTTATTACTACTATTATTATTATTACTGTTATTATTACTACTACTATTACTATTCTTTCTATAGTATTGTTGATTACATGCATTATTATGACATATATTTATGCATTCTAACCGCATTCGGCGACACAAATTGGCGAAAAAATAGTTTAATCAGAGTTATCTCGACAGTTGCTCAAGAACCGCCACACAACTGGATTGATTCACTCAATGGATTCGACAGGAGAATCTCCCCGCAAGAGACTCAAGACCGACAATGTCGTCGACAACGACGTCGTCCTCGAGACACCCCCGGAGGCCAAGGTCGAGGAGGACTCGCAGGCACGCCGGGAGGCAGAAGTCGGCATCACGCAGTTTGTGAGCGCGGAGGCTGTTGGATTCTCTGGAATTCTGAAGAAGAGGTGCTTTATATCTATAGGGGAGATTCTTGTTTCTCAATTTTCTAATATATATGTTGACTAGGTACACCGACTTCCTCGTGAACGAGATTTCACTTTCGGGCGAGGTGTTGCACCTCAAGAACACGCAGACACCCAATTCAGGATCCAAGGAGAATAGTACCAAAGACCAGGCAAGCGCTGAGACTCAGCTGGTGGAACAGCCGAAACTCGAGACAAAGCTTGAGGAAGCTGCCAAGCCCGCCGAACCGGAAAAAAACGAGGAGGTGGAGGAGTTTAAGCTCTCCGATGACGACCGCGCGCTGTTCGATTCCTCCTTTGGCGCTGAAAAGACAGACAAGATCATCGCGCTGTACCAGCGGGCGCGTGAGAATGCCAAAACCCGCCCCGGCGAGCTGGGGCGAGTCGTCACCAGCGTGCTCTCCGACCGGGATCTGCGCACCAAGATCCACCAGACGATCCGGCGGGCGTTCAGCTCCCAGCTGGAATCGTCGACGGACGCCGAAGGCGTGATGGTGATTTCGGTCGCTGCTAATCGCAACCAACGGAATGGACAGAAAAGGGGTGATGGTGGTGCTGCGGGCAACGCTCCGCGCGAACGCACGAACCGAGTCAACTGGGACGAGCTCGGGGGACAGTACCTGCACTTCACATTGTACAAGGAGAACAAGGACACGATGGAGGCGATCTCGTTCATCGCGCGCCAACTTCGGATGAACCCCAAGAGCTTCAGTTTCGCCGGCACCAAGGACCGCCGCGCCGTCACCGTTCAGCGGGCGTGCGTGCACCGCCTGCAGATCGACCGGCTGGCGAAGCTGAACCCCATCCTGCGTAACGCGGCGCTGGGCGACTTCGCGCACTCCCCCAACAAGCTGGAGCTGGGCGACCTGCACGGCAACGAGTTCGTGATCACCCTCCGCGACTGCGAGATCACCGGCGTCGACCTTGGTGGTGATCTTGCCGCGGCCATTACGCGGGCCAAGGAGATCGTCGGGACTGCGCTGCGCAACCTGCGCGAGCGCGGCTACTTCAACTACTACGGTCTGCAGCGATTCGGGACGTTCACGACAACCACCGACGCCGTGGGCGTCAAGATGCTGCAGGGCAACTTCCAGGCCGCGTGCGAGGCCATCCTCGAGTTCAGCCCGCACGTGCTGGCCGCGGCGCAGAACCCGGCCGAGACCACCACCGCGCTGATCAGCTCGGACAGCAAGGCCCGCGCCGAGGCAATCCACCTCTTCAACACCACGGGCCGCATCAACGAGGCCCTCGACAAGCTGCCGCGCAAGTTCGCCGCCGAGGCCTGTCTCATCCGCCATCTCGGCCGCCACCGCCACGACTACCTGACCGCCCTGCAGACCATCCCGCGCAATCTGCGCCTGATGTACGTGCACGCGTACCAGTCGCTCGTCTGGAACCATGCCGCGGGGGAGCGGTGGCGACTCTACGGCGACCGCGTCGTGGAAGGTGACCTCGTCATCATCAACAACGACGACACCAATAACGACCACGGCAAGGATAATGTCGCCACCGATGCAGACGGCGAGGTCATCATCACCCCGCAAGCTCACGACAGCGCCCGTCCCGCCGACGACCTCTTCACGCGCGCCCGCCCGCTGACCGCCGCCGAAGCCGCCAGCGGGAAATACTCCATCTTCGACATCGTGCTGCCCCTCCCGGGCTTCGACGTCGAGTATCCTGCTAACGCCGTGAAGGAGTTCTACCAGTCCTTCATGGGGTCTGAGCGGGGCGGCGGTCTCGACCCCTTCGATATGCGCCGCAAGTGGAGAGACGTCAGTCTGAGTGGTGGGTATCGGGCGCTCCTTTCTCGTCCGGGCGCAGAGTACTCGTTCGATGTGCGCAGTTATACCCGTGACGACGAGCAGTTTGTTTCCACCGATATGGATCAGTTGAAGCTTGCCTCTACCACTACTACCGATGACTCTGCTACTACTGCTGCTGCTGCTGATTCTAATCCCAAACTCGCTGTTATTCTCAAGTTTCAGCTCGGATCCAGCCAGTACGCGACCATGGCTCTGAGGGAGTTGATGAAGGGGGGTATCAAGGCTTATGCGCCTGATTTCGGGGGGCGCTAAGACAACTGTACATACCCTACAAAATGACCTTTCACTGTAGCCTACATATACCAATACAGACATACTTTCATAGTGAACAGTATATACAGAATCATGAAGCATTAGTACTAACCAATGACTAACTACCGAGCATGATCCTCTCCCATTGACGAAACAGACGAGACATCATCGTCTAGTCCGTGCGAACCGATATGTCCGTCGCGCGGGACATCGTCCATGTCCGAGACGGCCGAGACGGCGTCGTTGTGCGGATCTTCAAAGGGCGAGCGTGGCCGGTCCCGGTCCTCGTGGGAATGCGAGTATGCTAGTGCCGCCATGTTCTCTTCTGTGAGATCGTGTTGGCTTGTATGTTGGTGAGTGGACAGTACTGCTGCTGCTGCTCCTCCTGCTCCTCCTCCTTCAGGGATGCCTGGACTTTGCATCGGTGCAACTTGATAGGAAGGGTTGGAAGTATTGCTGTTGCCGGTGTTTCCTGGGACTGGACGTCTTGAAATCTGTGTTGAGGGAATAGGCCCGTCCCATCCGCGTTCTGATTGAGGGAGGAGAGCAGCTCCCGAAGCCTGCGTCATGGCAACAGCCTCCTTGCTGGAAGTTGCGAGGGCGCGGCTTCTCTTGCGTTTGCGCCAGAGGAAGAAGAAGATCACGCCCGCGACGAGCAGGGCTCCCACCACCGCGACGGGGACTGCGATGGCGATAGTCTTAGTGTTGGTACCGCCTCCTCCTCCGCCGCTGCTGCTCTTCCCTGTGCTTGTACTGCTACTAGACGCTGCGGAGGCGGTAGTGCTGGTGGTAAATGAGGTGAAGGATGAGGTGATCTGGCTGGTAGCGGGGAGGGTTGCTCCCGTCTCCGGCTGTGTACTGGTAGTGGCGCTGGGATCCGAACTGCCAAACCCGAAGTTTTCACCTGTTGCGGTTGTGGTTGAGGTTTCTGACGTTGTTGTCTTGCCGTTGAATAAGTCTGTTGTCGTCGTTGTCGTCGATGTTGAGGGGTCGCCACCAAGTCCACCGTCCCCTTCCCCGGCATAGGATCTTTCTCCATTAATATCCCCCATGGTGGTTTTGTGAGAGACGAGACTGAGGAAGCCGTCAGTGATCTGCGAATATATCGGTGCGGAGAGATCAGAATGAGAGTCGTGGCCAAGAGACATGCTGTAAGAACCACCCCCCGGCTGTAGCTTACTTATGTGATTATATGCAGGTAATTAGTTCCTGTCAAAGCAGAAACACGAGCTACCGGTTTGGGGGTATATCCAGAGTCAAAAGTAAGATTCAATGTGTTCCATGGGGATGACACCCAGTTCTAGCCAAAAGAGAGAGAGAAAAAGAAAAGGACAAAGAAAACACAGGATTCAAAGAAGAACCACCAAAAGGCGCGAAAAAAAAAAAAAAAACGGCGGCAGCCAGCAGGTTAAGCCAACAAAGAAGAACTGCCCCCCTCCTCTCCCCCCGAAGCAGTAAGAAAATAGTCCACCAGGAAAGGCTGATTATTTCCGAAGGCGCAGCAGAATCATCCCCCAAGGGCCCAGCGGGTAGTCCACGAACGACGATCAGGCTGAGCAGCCGTGTGGGAAGCAGGGGCCAATCAGCCCTGGCGCTCGATGCAATGACAGCGCCTAAATAGTTGACAACCATAAAACGACACGGCTGCGCATCGTGTTGCAAAAGGTCGTCGTTGTAGTTTGTACAATCAACGAACGAATAAACGCCCTACAAGGACGCGCAACTCGGCGCGAGGCTGCGAAACACTAGGATCAGTCAGGCCCTGAGTCGATTGGCTCTCCAGCTTTTTTGTCGTACGTGTCAGTGGCACGATAAGAATCATTCATCCTGGGTGTCAACCCCGTACACGCCTTCCCGGGCAGTATGTAGTACTCCGTAGAGTGTCGACAACAATACGCGCTGCATGCCCTTGACGGCCGGTCCACCGAGAAGGTCACCTTTGAAGGTTGGACTCGTATACTTGCCGGTCTATTCCACAAGGAGGACAGACGCCCAGTTTTCCAAGACGAGAAAGGGATGGACCGATGGGTCATTGCGAGCAGAACGCGGGGGCCTCATAGGCTCATTGTTAATCAAACGCCCTGTTCAAGCCTCGTCCTCCACCACTGGGGCCAAAAATAGGCCGCCCTCAGGGCTGAGACGCCGAGTGTCACTCTGTTAGTATGCTTCAAACTTGTGCTGCTGACCTCCCCAGATCAAACCAGCATGTCACAGGCAGGCGACAGCCACGGAACAACGACATTTCAGCCGGTCGGGGGGATGAAGTCGAAAGCGCAGGTTGTTTTTGGTGGGCGAAAACAAGACACGGGGGTGATGCACGTGATCCAACGTGACTCCACGTGACTCACCGCCCGGCCGGGCGGTGTGGGCGGCCGATTCCGGCGATTGCCGCTTCCTCCCCAAGGGAAACGACGGGGGGCAAACGTCGAACGTCGTCGCTGTTGGCGTGGACCTTCTCGTCGTCGTGATATTCTGCGGGCTCAGTCATCATGAGTGGTATGAAAGGGGTCTTCAAGGAGGGCTGGCACCCGAAAGGCAAAGATGGGGGTCGGGAGAGCTGGCGCGGTGACTTTAAAGGCATCAACCAAGTGGTAGGCGTTGCAGGGACTAACGGGGCTGGGCGTATCTAAGAAACTGACTTGATTGATAGGCTGGATGGGTAGGCAAGGGGAAGGAGAAGGATGCTGGACGTGCGGACCATGTCTCGCGGCCGCTCTCCTCCCTTAAGGACCCGGCGTCTTTCGGCCCTCCGCCGAAACACATCAACTACCACGGCCCTGCGGCGGTGCCGGACCAGACCACCCCGAATCGTCGAGGACTCGGTGCTCCGCTGGCTCCGGAGCAGATCGAACGGCAGAACGCGGAGCGACAGCAGGAGGAGGAGGAAAGGGCAGCGGAGGAGGCGGCGCAAAAGGCCGCTGTTCCCCCGTTGCCGTATCGTGCGAACCGCACGGGGCTGACTACGACGAACCTCCCCCCGCCTCCGGTGAGACGGGTTGATTCCCCCGTTGGTTCCCCCGTTGAGTCCTTGGGGACGAGGCCGAGACCAAACGTTCCACCCCGACTACCTGCACGTACCAATTCCATTCCTTCGCAGTCTCCGTCTCCGCCGCCGGCATATTCGCAGACGCCAGCGCCTCCCTCCCGGTCACAGAGCTACATAAATGAGAACGCGGTGAACCGTCTGACCCAAGCGGGGGTATCAGTGCCTGCGTTGGGGATCGGGAGCCGGGGAAGCAATGCGGCGTCACCTGTTAGTGCGCAGGCTCCAGTCAACGAGCTCCAGTCTCGGTTCACACGCTTGAGAACAACGGAGTCGAACCCCCCTGCGGAAGGAACCACTCTGGCAGAGAAGCAGGCGGCCGTGAACACAGCGCAGAAACTGCGCAGTGACCCATCCTCCGTTTCTGCGGCGGAGGCGCGGAGCGCTGCCTCCACCGCCAACAACTTTCGAGAGCGACACAACGACACCATCCAGGCCGGGATGCGCAAGCTCAACGGGATCAACGATAAGTACGGCATCACAAAGAGGTTCAACAACTTCATCGAGGAAGGCAAGGCGCCCGCCGACTCGGGCGCGGCAGGCCAGCCGCCTCCACCACCTCCACACCCGAACCGATCCAGCTCGAGTGTCGACCTGGATGCCCTGAACCGAAGAAAGCCTCCGCCGCCGCCACCACCACCGAAGAAATCGTCGATGCGCGCGGCGCCCGTCAGTCCGCCGCCACCGCCGCTGCCGCTGGGGACCAAACCTCGCTGACCGGTTGCCTCTCTGTACATTTCTGGACCATCTACAGTTCTAATCGCAGCTATCTACAGTTCTAATAACAAGCAGAACATTTTATCGCATTTTTAACCGCAATTCTCATTATTATGTAGTAAGAATCTATGGCCCACTTCATCGCCACAAGCCTCGGCCTGGAACACTTTTCAGCCAGTAGACAGTAGACACTGGAAGTAGACAACTGCTACAGTATTCTAGAATATTATATATAAATCTCATCTTCAAAGTATAAAGTATCTTCCGTAGCAAACAGGTGGAGATGACGCTGCTGAGCTTGTTCTGCTGTGCAGCGTCATAATGATGCACCTGCACCCAGAAGTTGTTGAGATGGCGTAGTGAGTCTTAATAGCAGGTATTAATCCAGCCCCATAGAGTCTGTACTCCTTAATAATCTATTCAACCAAGTCCTCAATCACATTCACCTCCTCCTTCCTCAGGCTTCCTGGTCTCGCCCTCTGTCTTGCAAAGTTACCGAGGCACACGCGACAGCCAAAATCCCAACAAACGCACTCCGTCTCCACCCAGCGATATGAGCATTGCTCTGCTTGGATGGCATCCTCCGACTGCTTCTAACCCGGCCACAATCCGCTCTTCCCACTGGCTGTCCGTCTTGGATCCTCTGGCTGGGTCGCTGCCTTGCTGGATCCTCCCCTCTGCTGCCCTGGCTGCTGCTACCCCAACCGGTCTTGTTGCTGGCTGATAAGAGGTGGAGAGAGACAAATTTTCTCTTATCTTATCCTCAACGCTCCTACAGTTTCCTTCTTTCCTTTGATTCCTGCTAGGAGAGAGAGAGAGAGAGTCTTTCTACAATCAGTCTCGTCTGTCAGGCGTCTCTAGCCATGTTGGATTTCACCTTGTCGCCCAACGGTGCTGGTGGTGGTCCTGCTGCCACCATCCGGATTGGCCTGCCTCCAGCGTCGTTGCTGCAGTTCCCCCCGAAAGAGCTCCCCGCGACGTTACCAGCACCCCAGGTCGAGACGCTCACCTGGAAGCAGCCGTTCAACATCCCGCCGGCGCTGTACACCGATCTGCTCGATGTGCGGGTGCCCATCACCATCGCGGGCGTCTACGCGGCAACCGTCGTCGTGCTCAATCGCGTGAACAAGGCCCGCGGGTACAAGCCGTATGCCTTCAGCAAGACGCCGCTCTTCAAGCTCTTCGTCATCCTTCACAACATCTTCCTCGCCATCTACTCCGCCTGGACATGCGTGGGCATGATCCAGACCTTCCGCGACACCTGGCCGCACCGTGACGACCCCCACGGCCTGGTTGCCGTCACCGACGCCCTGTGCAAGATCAATGGGCCCCGCGGGTATGGAAACGCTGCCGTCTACAGCTCGGCCACCGATCAGTGGACCATGCCCAACCCGCAATTCAAACTGGGCGCAGGCAATGTGCCCGATGCCACGGACATCGGTCGGCTGTGGAACGAGGGTCTTGCCTTCCTGGGTTGGATCTTCTATCTCTCCAAGTTCTACGAGGTCCTCGACACCGCCATCATTCTGGCCAAGGGCAAGAAGAGTTCCACCCTGCAGACGTATCACCATGCCGGTGCAATGATGTGCATGTGGGCTGGCATCCGTTACATGGCGGCCCCAATCTGGATCTTTACCCTAGTCAACTCGGGGATCCATGCCTTGATGGTAAATTTCTCTCTCTCCTTGTTTTTGCTTCCCCCCACGAGATGGGCGAATGGCGAATGGCGAATATCTCTCTGACTCACATTCTTTTAGTACACATACTACACCCTGACGGCACTGAGTGTCCGCATTCCCACCCGCATCAAACGCTCCTTGACCACGATGCAGATCACTCAATTCCTCATTGGTACTACAATGGCTGCCTCTTACCTATTCATCAGCTACACGTTGCCCGTGGCTCAGCCTGTGGCTCCCACCCTCCGACAGATCTCTGCCGTTGCTGCTGCCTCGGTTTCCTCGTCCGGCACGACTGTGGCCAGTGCAGCCACCGCCGAGAGCCTGGTCCTCTGGTTGAAGAAGCTCGCCCTCCGGGCTGCTGGCGCACAGGGCATTGCCGAGAACGTGGGAAGCTCTCGCGTCCAGCCCCTCGTCGGCGATATTTCCAACGCCGCCTCGACGGCGAGTCAGCAGCAGGGAGTGCCTGGCGTTGAGTACCCCATGGTGACCTGCATGGACACCACAGGTCAGGCCTTCGCTATCTGGCTGAATGTCATGTACCTCCTACCTCTAACGTACCTGTTTGCGCGTTTCTTCGTGCGGTCGTACCTCCACCGCAAGGACGCGAGCGCCAAGCGCCCCGCGCCCATGGTCGTGGCCGAGAAAGCAGGGTTGGATGCCTTGAAGGGCGTGGGCCGCGAGATCCAGCGGTCGATCGAGATGCACGGCGATACGAGCGAGGTCACCACCGAAGACGAGTCGTTCGACAAGAGCATCTCGAAATCCGTCAAGACCCGCGCTGCTACCAAGAAGTCTGCTGCAAAGTCCACCCTCTCCGCGCCGCAGGATGGCTTCATGCCCGTCTCGCCCAAAAAGGGCGCCAAGCGCGTCACCAAGGAGAACTTGGGCCCTGCACCCTCGGTGACTGATTCAAAAGCTGCAAATCCGTACGAGGTTCTGGACCGTGAGGCATGATTTCTTTCCCTCCTATCTCTTTTATTTTATTCTTTTACACGATCTTCCTGGTCGGAAACATGAACCTCAATTCAGTCATCTGCCAAGAGTGTTCGTCATGTTCAGTCGTTTTGATCTGGAACATCCCTGTCTATTAATATCATTGTTACCCCGCAATCAAAAAAAGCTGGGATCCGAATCCGGGCTGCCCCTGCATCTTTACAGAGGCCCTCTAGACGGGGGAAATTTCCTCCATCGCAGGCAGTCAAGGAGGAGGGGTGGGTAAAGGCGGAAAAATATTCTCAATCCGGTCGCTTCTCGTGAGATCAAAGGCGACAAGGGCCGTTCAGCAAAGCTTCACCTTCGCTGTAGAGTTCGGAGAACACCTGTGAGTTAGAATATGCAGTTGGTTGGGCGCCCTAATCCGCCGTCATGTAACGTCCGACATCAATATGAAAAAATATTAAAAAACACCCAAACCCTTCCTTTTCTCCTTTGGTATTTATACTACTTCTACACGCCTGCCCCTCCGTAATTTCGTCCGCCGAACCGGACGGCTGACTGACGTAGATAGTAGGCAGTCAACAAGAAAAAAGCTAATTCAGCGTTATTATAGAGGATTTATGAGACTTCCTCTAGGTGTGGTTATGCTTGCCTATTGAAGGTCTTCTCTCAACTTGTAATCCAGAATGACTACCAATTCCCAATAACAACTTTTTTCTCAGTGTACTTCAGACAGTAGACCCAAGGAAGTATATATACATGAACATGCTTGAGCACTGGAGCCCACATACTCGTCTGGAACCCGTTTGCATGACATCAGAAACATCCGGGATTTTTCCCTTTTGGAAGAGAGGATCTAAGACAGCGGGGTAAAGATCTAAGACAGCGAGGAGGCCCCGAAAACTTTCTATAGACTTGAAGTCCCGAGGGCCCTCAAGACGTCTTTCTACCTTGGGGGAGGGGTTGCAATGTCTCTCTGTCCAGGTACGGCCCCGGGTTTATCAGATCATCGTCGCCCATATAGGAACATAGCAGCGAAAGAAGACGGCGAAGTCACGCCGTATCTACAGCATGAAAAGTCTAAAGACCAGGAGTATCCTCAGATGTCAAAAGTGGAGAAGCCCGGCTCTTGACTTGGCAAGAGGCTTGGCTCTTCTGGCACTTGGGGCCAAGACAAGCCTCAGAGATGGGCGTCCAGCATGATGTGCTTGTTGAGGCGGTAGCCACAGTCGGCTGGGTGAAGAAAAAAAAAAAGGGTCCTGGAGCTATCACTCAGGCTGGAAAGGGGCTGCCTATGTAGTACGGAGTAGTTGACGACGCACTCGAGGATCCCCGGGAGGATATCGTGCTTCCCCCCCCCCTGGCGGAGAGATTCAAACATGCTGTTCTGTCAGTGTATCCCGCCAGTGAGAGGTCATGTTGCCGTCTTTTTGACTATGCGTAGCGCTGGCTTACTGCGTTGCGATCTGACCTTGTCTGTTGCTAATAGCTGGTGGTGATGCCTGGTCAGAAAATTCGATTGAAGTGGGTTAGCCCAAGCCTAGAACCATGCGAATCATTAACAGAATAAGAATAAGATCATACTAGTTACCTTAGCCTCTGATCTTGGCTAATAGCTATAGCCAGTATCTCCTCTCTTCGTCTCTGGTGGAATAACAAGGAGCGAGAGTCTGCCCACTGGCGGAAATAAACAGGGGCTGCGTATCCCCCATCCAACCTTGCCTGCTTTAGCCTCGCCCGCCCCGTGTTTCGAACCTCACTCGAGGAAAATCGCACCTTTCCCCATTCACGGAACTCGCCCGAGGCTCACTGTTTGAAATTAAGGTGATGGACCCTAGAAGAACAGACTATGTAGTAGAGGTTAGTTAGTGCTTGAAAATCCTTCCCTTCCTCCTCCTCCTCTCCGGAGCTAGTCAAGTTAACCAATCTATTCCACCAGTGCGAACCTCCCAATGGCCGAACACATTTCTGCAGGAGGGCAGGATGATCTGATGGGTCTCATCTCCGGTGGCCCCCGGAAGTCTCGGCAGCTGAAACGGCCTCTGCTCTGTCTGTAACTCCTTCTGCAGAAACAAGGATGGTGCTGGGGAGCCCCCGGGGCTACCTAGCCTGTCTACGGCCATAGGTGGATCAAATCGTGGTGGAGGGTAATATCGGACGGAAGATGGCCCAAATGAACCAGGGCTGTCAGTCCAGGGAGCTGCGGAGCTTGGCTAGACGTCTGCTCTTTTCCCTCGGTCGGTGTCACGACTCAGGAGAGGGTATATAAAGAAACGGTGATCGTCAGCTGATGAAGAAGACTGCAGAACCATCTCCTTCCGTTCCTTTCTCACCTGCAGTATTCTTCTTTCTCTGTAACTTATACTACTGTTGATCGGTACCATGCGATTCCTCACCATTGTTTCCCTCGCGGCTTCGGCGCTGGCAGCCAGCCGTACCACTCCTCCGTCTGGATCGATTGTCGTGGCCAAGTCTGGCGGTGATTACACCACTGTATGAACCACTCCTAGATGATGATTGAATGGGGGTTGTTCTTTTTTTTTTTGATACTGATGTCATCGTTCAGGTCAGCGAGGCCATTGCCGCGTTGGACACCGACACCACCGAGACTCAGACCATCTTCATCGAGGAGGGCACCTACGAGGAACAGGTGTACATCCCTGAGCTGGCTGGCGCGCTCATTATCTACGGACAGACCGAGGAGTGCGTCATCCGAGATTTCTTTTCCGCTTGCTAACCACTCTGGCTAACAATAATACAATGATAGTGATACCACCTATTCCTCCAACACTGTCACCATCACCTATGACCTGAGCTTGGACTCGGTCAGTGACGATGATGAGTCGGGTAAGAAGAAATAAACCACCCCGGCGGGTTCTCTTTATGGAACAATGTTGGCTGACTGGTGGACTCAGCTACCCTGAGGAACTGGGCCGCCAAGACCAGCATCTACAACATCAACATCGCCAACACCTACGGCGAGGGCGCCCAGGCGCTCGCCCTCAGTGCCTACAACACCGAGCAGGGTTACTACGCTTGCCAGTTCCTCGGTTTCCAGGGTAATC